GTGTCCATTAGAAAACTATCTGGATCGAGACCACATCCCTAACGTACACTCACACCTCTGTAACATTAACTAACCTTATTGTATTCTTTTGTTTTGCCCTCCAGTCTGGTAGCTGATGTTGTCCTCTTCAACTCCCAGTACAACCAGGACTCCTTCTTATCATCCATCAAAACCCACCTCAACATCATACCAGACTGCCGGCCCAAGGGTCTGTCTGAACAGATCAGACCAAAATGTCAGGTTCTCTATTTTCCCATCAACTTCCCCGCACATTGGAGACACTGCTACACAACAGGTGTCGGAACAAGTTCTGCTGCCTCAGGGCACAAGCTCTCTTCTGTGGATCAAACTGGCACAGCCTGTGGAGGGAAACTCTATAGTGTTTATGATACAGGCACCAGTTGTTTAGGGCAGCTCTCTAAAGCTGACTGTGCAGAAACTTTATCAGATGTGGACACGATGGATGACTTTGCTTCAGAAACAGGGAAAAGTGATGAAGATAATACTCAGCTCACTGCTACATCTGATTTAAATAATCATTGCAAGATGTTAACTGTGAAGTCTTCAGTAAATGGTAAGAAGTTGAGGACAAGTCAGCAAGGAATGAGCACACAAGGAGAAATACCTTCAAGTGTAGGGAGCTGTGTAAAAAGTGACCAGAACCTTTCTAACGAGAACGGGAAACCTAGTGGTGACCATGAGAACTGTAGGTCTGATGCTGATCAGCAGAGTTGCTTGATGATGAGAAGTACGGGTAAAGATGGACCACTGCACATTGTGTGGCCACATCGCTGGTAAGACCTTACAGCTTTTTATCTTAATCTATCAATGCATGACACCTATCTGTTATATGGATTGCAAAATGCTTTTCCAAACTTCAAAGATGAGATGACACCAATGACACTGAAATACAACAGTTCCTGACTATAGTCAAAACTTATTTTCATTCAAAAAAGGTTATTTTTTATCAAGTAATACCTGTCATGTTTGGATACTTTCAGGAACAGTTCTACTTCAGTTGTTGGTGTCATCTTATATTTAAAGGGGAGCCTAGATGGATGGACATTGAAAATGGTAAGGATCTCATTATGTTTCTTGCCCCCTCAGGGAACATGACAAGAACCCAGACTTGTTTTTCCAGACACTGTTCCAGCTGAAGGAGGAAGGTTGCTGCTTCATTGTGTCTGTACTTGGGCAGGAGTACACTGATGTACCTGGTAAGGAAGTGACTAGTATGTCTTATGTCTGCATGCATGGCCTTAGATTATTTGGCTAATTAAAACATGTTGAATTAATATTAAATTTTACTAAAATACAAGTATTTTAAGTCATTGTTGTAAGTAACATGTGATGCATTACAAATTTTTACATGTCTATTTCTCCTAACTGCAGATATATTTACTGAGGCAGCAGAGAGACTGAAAGAGCAAATTCATCAATGGGGACATCTGGCAGCTAAGGAGGATTACTACAGGCTGTTACATCAGGCTGATGTGGTGGTTTCCACTGCAGACCATGAGTTTTATGGGGTCTCCATGTAAGGGTAGCTCTGCTTAGCTGCAGCTATGCTCAGTGTCTAGGTAGTTTTTTTATCACTTTAAATACTAGTAGTATTTTCAAATAAGCCTGATGACACGTTTTTGTTCATTTTTCATTATCATGTTAACATAGCAAATAAATTTGTACTTGATTACATTTTGGCAGGTTGGAGGCAGTTTACTGTGGATGTTACCCTCTCTGTCCTAACAGACTGGTCTATCCTGAAATCTTCCCCAGTAAGTAGAGACATCTCTATTATATTTAATTAGTCAATGTAACGTTACATGTATGTGTTTTGTAGATATACTTTATAAGTGCCAGCAGATTTTTATGCTGTGCTCGTAACTATTAACATATATGTAGCAGAACATTTTCTTATGATTCTGTACTGTACAAATGTTGTCAGTGAGTGAACATAACTGTCCGTAGAGAGTAGCGTGACAAACCTCGCATTTCTTCTATTGCTTCAATCTGCGCCAGAGGAGTGCCTGTATAACACACCACAACAGCTGAAGAAAAGGTTGAGGGATTTCTGCAGAAGACCACAGCTAGCAAGGAAACACTCAATAAGTGTGAGTGTTCATCAGTTTTGTAGATGGCATATCTGATACCATATTATTGTGATTCTAATTTGTTTATCTGCTGTAACTTTTGTATTAATTTGTTAAGCTGCTTGAAGTCCTGCATTAGATCAAAGACAATCATTATCTGACTCCGGCTGGCTTAGAAATACTAGATAATTATTCCAATCTTTAATGTCATGCTATCATGATAATTATGTGTCTTCCTTCCTTCCTTTTTGTTTGTACAGCTTGGGATACATCAGTACAGTTGGGAGGGCCTGGCAGAGGAGTATAAGAGACTCTTGCAGTAATGTTGAAAGAATCTGGAAGGCACATCAGAGATTCCTGCTGGTATTAAAAATTTTGACACTTTCATCTTTGTATCAAGAAATAATTTATTCACTCTCAATGAGCACTACAAAAATCATCACACAGGTTTTCATCACACATTACCTAAGATCACAAAAATTTCACTCAGTTCAGCTTTAGCCTTGCTTCCATATAAACAAGAGCACTAGAAAATAGACCTTCCTAATACGTACATACAGTAAATGTTATATGAAATTGGTCAATGGACGGATGCATGTAATCAATGTATGTACAGTTTATCTTTAAAGTCCTATGCATAGATACTACTAGAAAATACTTCCAGCCAGATCGACCTCTCCTTTTTGTACATTTGTGTTTTACTGGCTGGAGGCAAGAAAAGGTCTGTGCAGAATGCCAGGCAAGATGTGCTTTGTATGAAATAGTCCTTAGATAGTCATATTGTAAATCTTCTTGCAATTGGTCCAGATTGACATTTTTAGGTGTCTTTTTTTTGATGGATCACACAATTTTGCCATTTCATGGTACACTGATTGCATAGTTATACTCTTATTGCATAGTGATACAGCAACACTAAATCACCTTTACCTTTAAAGTACTGGCACCTTTTTACATAAAGATAATAAAATGCAATTTACACTAAAAACAACAAAACCAGTAAAGACAGCAAGCTTCAACATCAGACTTGTAACACTACAATTAGCAAAATTATACTAACAATTCCACTCAATCCTAGTATTAAAATGTCCAAAAATAACAATCTTTACAGACCCTTCAAGGGTCTTGCATCTATAAAACTCCATTTTCCACTTTGGCTATTATCTGTAAAATGTTCTTAGAAACCCAGTATAAAAAGTCTGCCATATTTTGCTGTCAAATCTGTTTAAAATCCCTGCTCTTGTTCACAAAGTCACCCAGCTTTGGGTTGGGTCGAGGTTATCAAAGATGTGTATCAGCAATGTTTATCCTTCTCATTTCGTAGTGTTCGTTAG